GAAAATAGAAAATAGAAAATAGAAAATAGAAAATAGAAAATAGAAAATAGAAAATAGAAAATAGAAAATAGAAAATAGAAAATAAAAAATAAAAAATAAAAAATAAAAAATAAAAAATAAAAAAATAAAAAATAAAAAAATAAAAAAATAAAAAAAAATAAATATACTATTAAGATAACATATAAAAATTTATTATTTATAGTTACCTTTTTTATAATCATCTAATTTCTGTTTTCAAGCAGGAATTTATTAATTTGGCTCTATTTAGTAATACTGGGCCTTTATAGCAATTCACATATGTACATATAAATTTGGAAGCAAATTTTATTTTTTTTTGGTTAATATAAAGATCACTAAACTATATAGAGATTTTCTGTTCTTGAATTTGTATACAACACATGAACTATTGAAAAACCCAATTACTAGACAAAAAAAATAAAAAGAACTTTAAAACATTTATTGAAACATTATAATTAGTTTGATTGGCTGAAGAATGCAGGTCCAAACCGATTCTACCCAAATTCCTGACAACCAAAATTCCGACAATACATAATCCCGACTAAGACAGAATACTAACAAGTCAAATAAGACAGAATCCCGACAGTTTAAAATCCCAATGTTCAAAATTTTGAATGGCCAAATCCCGACAGTACATAAATATTGTCGAGATTTTGACCATTCAGGATTTTGAATATCGAGATTTTGACTTCAGTATTTTGTTTTAGTAAGAATTATGCGTATTGAGATTATGGATTTCTGGATTTTTGGGCAGAATCATTCAAATTATCGAATAAAATCACACGTATGCTGCACTTTTTTGCCATGGCCAGGGTACGTGCGTACTCAGGTAACCCAGAATAACCCGAGCAGATTTTAATCTGGTACGATATGCTTATTCCCTTTTTAAGATTTATTTTTTCACGTTACTCCAGATCTAAAATCTTATAAGTAATTATATGTTTTTTAATAAATTTTTTTGTATAAATTTGTATAGACACTCGTGAACATGGGTATTGTCATATTAACGTTAAGCCAAAAAGGCTACGAACATCAAAAATGTATACGTAGCATTGTGCAAAGCAACTAATAATTTCTAAATATGGATTTAAAAAAAATTATGATTAATTGTGAGCAATATCGATATCGCCTAAATTTTCCTCATTGCATGATAGTTTAACAGTGTGTACCAAAGAGTGTCGGTGAAAAAAATTAAACTATATACCATTTCTAGAGCTAGCGATCGGATTGTAATCTTAACGGTATTTAAGGTGAATAAAATACGTAGAAATTTCATGAATTGTCGATCTGCGTTAAATAATTTACCGATGTAGCACATACATATTAATATACAGCTAATTCCAGATATCGCCAAATCTAGGTTACCAAAAAGCAAATATGCGTAATTACTACGTACAGTCTTATGCACGATTTTAAAATTTACGTAAGAATATTAAAATTTTTTTCACATGTTAAACTTTTAAAGCATTATTTTTGCCGGCGAAATTTTCTCTTTTGGCTGTGAATAAAAAATATATCTATATATAGATAAATTAGCGTTGCATATTTCGTAATATTGGAATGGTTCTTTGTTATGCGTACGTAAATACGAGTTCTTTAGTTTTTGATAATTATCAATCATCTTTTTTGAAATTATTATTTTTTCAGTCCCACTGTGAGAATTAATCATCGAATGTTGCTATTTTTAGTGTTTAAATAACTTATTTGCTTGCGAAGAACGCCAAATTATGATCTAAACCATTTCAAATTGGCATAAAATGGGTTAAGAATTCCACCAATTTTAACTTTCTTTACTAGTTTAACGAGCATCATGTCAACTCATCAGGAGGCATGCACCAGAGTTCTTACAACCACAAAATCCACCGTAAAATCAACCTTTACTGTGGTATGATATTGTACTTGGTTTTTCCCGATTTTCTTATCGTATAAAAAAAAAAAGTTAATGAATTTTTGTAATTTAATGCTCTGAATCAGTTTTGTGATCAAGACGTGATAGATGCAAATGAACTCACAAGGAAATACTACACTATTGCTAATGATACCACCAAACATTCTGACCCAATTCAAGCAGTTTTTAACCAAGCTGCAGCAGATTGTAAAACCGAAGATGTGAATATGGTTCAACATGCGTTGATGACTTTTGTCACTCATCATCCTAAAACCAGGAAAAAAAAAATCCGAATTCCGTCTTTGGCTCGTCGTAATCCAGGTCTTAGTGCTCCTGCTAAGCCTGTTTATATAACCCCAGGCCCTTTTGTTGGTAGTAGACCAGTGGCACCAACTCAAGATGTTAGTAGTGAACAAGTTCTTGACTATTGGCGTGAAGATCCAAACTTGAACCAACACCATGAGCATTGGCATATTGTATACAGTGATAAACCACTCCCTGATCCTCAATTTCCCGACGATAAGAGTAAAGAATATATTAAAGATCGTCAAGGTGAACTCTTCATTTACATGCACAGACAAATGGTTGCCAGGTATCTGATTTCTTCTCGTGACGTAAGTTATTGCTCACGTGATTTAAAATACCATAATAACGATAGCTTTAATTGACAATGATCAAGATATAATGCTGAGCGTCTTGGAGTTGGTTTGGGGGTTGTAATGCCTCTTGGGAATTATGATGAGCTTATTCCAGAAGGCTATTTCCCTTCACAACATTTAGTTGACAACATAGATAATACAACTTTTTCCTCTCGTGTTTCTGGCTTAAAATTGGCTGATGTTTGCAAGTATCAATATATATATATTTGTTTTAGGCGAATGATATTTCCACACCCCTTTTTTGATATTTCCACACCCATGCAGATCACTTTTTTTAAAAACTTTAATCCAATGTATCTCGACAACTACCCGACAAAATTCAATAAAATTTTTTTTATTAGAATTCTACTATTCTGTAGAATTCAAATAAAGAAAAATTCATCGAAATGGGTCAGGTGTTTATCGAGATACCTTCAATCAAAGTTTGAGAAAAATTTGCTGCGGCTATTATTTTGATAGACGTTTAGATTTTTTTAAGCCTTTGATCGAAGGTATCTCGACGACTACCTGACCAAATTCGATGAATTTTTTTTTATTTGAATTCTACAGACTCATAGAATTCTAATAAAAAAATTTTTATAGAATTTGGTCAGGTGGTTGTCAAGATACTTTCGATCAAGTTTTTAAAAAAATCTAAACATCTATCAAAATAAGAGCTGCAGCAAAATTTTCTCTAACTTTGATTGAAGGTATCTCAGTAATTACTTGACCAATTTTGATAATTATTTTTTTATTTGAATTCTATAGACTCGTAGAATTCTAATAAAAAAATTTCATTGAATTTGGTCAGGCGGTTGTCGAGATACCTTCGATCAAAATTTAAAAAAATCTAAACCTCTATCAAAATAATAATCGCGGCAAAATTTTTTCTAACTTTGATTGATGGTATCTCGATAACCACCTGACCAATTTCGATAAATTTTTTTTTATTTGAATTCTACAGAACTCGTGGAATTCTAAAAAAAAAAAAAATTATCGAATTCGGTCAGGTAGTCGTTAAAATACCTTCGATTAAAGTTTTAAGAAAAGTGATCTACATAGGGTGTGGAAATATCAAAAAAAGGGTGTAGAAATATCAGTCGTCAAATTAAATCAATTTATAATAATTTATAATACAACTCTCTTTGCTAATCCTCTGTATACAAAAATACAAAAATAAAACAATGCCAAAAAATGACAGAAACACACAACTGGCTATAGAAAACAAGATTTGCAGCTCTAAGAAAAAAGCAAGAAGACTAGAAATAATATTCAGTCTCTTAAGAGACTTGAGTAAATAGAGCAGAAGCGGCAAAGATATAGTAGAAAAACTTGAAAATCATTGATAATTTTGCTTTTTGCAAGTCATTTTGGGAATTGGCCTTAACCTTGTAATGCAGATCAGTTATTGTTATACAAGATACACAACACATAATGAAAAATAAACAAAGAAAATATGTTAAAAAACATGTGACAAATGAAAACAAAGAAGATATACAAACACAACAACAAATTAGTCACATAAAGCAAAAAATAGTAGAAAATGTTAAAACAAAATCTACAATAGCAGAACAAGCAGAAGAACAAATAGCAGCAATACATATAAAATTGAGACAATATAGAGTAGAAAGAATTAAATATACAGAACTTGTATTTAAGAAAAAAAATAATACAATATATCAAGAGACAATACAGTTAGAAATTGACTCAACAGAACACATTCTACTAGACAAAGTAACTAGTACTATAAGAAATCTATATGCAGCAGAAAGAGAAAGTCTGTTTATACATAATAAAGAAAGATTAGCCACTGAGTATGCAAAAGCTAAAATAGAAACAGGATAGATGAAAAGACTAAATAAGCAGAGAAAGTGCTAACAAAGGCAGTATAATAAAATAATAGTAGGACTATTATTACAGTACTTTAGAAAATCAGTAGAATTAATGAAAATAAAACAATATGAAGAAAAAAAGAAAAATAAAATTAAAAAGAAATAAAAAAAATGCAAGTTTAACAGAAAACAAAGCTGCTAGAACAAAAACATAAAGAAGCTAAAGAAAAAGAAAAAATATTAAAGAAAAGAAACACAGAAAGAGACATTGAAGGCCTTATAGAAAGGAAACTTTAGACAAACTAACCAAAGAATCAAGACCAAGAATTCTGGCATTAACCTTAATAGAAGAAAAAAACTCTGTCAAGATACAAATCAAAAACCTACAAAAGAAAATACTAAGGTGAATAGCAGAGTTTATATACCAAGTAAACTTAGAAAGTAGACAAGATAATATTAAAGATTGGAAAAAGAAGAAAAAAGAAATCTTAGACAAATAAAGTAGACGAATTAGATTATTAACAAACACTAGTATAAATGAAAATAATATCATACAAGATGCAGCAACAGGGAGAACAATAGAAGTCAAGAATTGAAAAAAAAAAAGAAAAACACCAGGTTTAGAATAGCAAGAAGAAGTATAAGAAAAGTAGCTAGAAATTAAGAGAAGTACTTTAAACTGCAAATAAAGTTATACAGAAGAAAAACAAGCTTATAAAATAGGAAAGAGAAAGCAGTAAGGAGGTTTTTAGAAAGACTAAAAGGTAAAGAGAAGTATACAAGATCCTGAAAAGCACTTATTAGAAGAAATATAAGACTATGGAATAGAAGAAAAAGAGGAAGCACAAAGTTTCAACAAAAGAGAAAAAGAAGATCTGCACAAATTAACCAAGACCTAGAAGCAGAAAAATCAAAAGTAATATCAAAGAAACTAAAAGAAAAAAAAAGCTGCAAACAAATACTTCTGGAGGAAATCTGTATAAAAAATATGATCAAGAGCAAGAAGAATAAGGTGAAGTTTAGAAACTGAAAGAAATACAAAAAGAAAAAAGAAAGTAGAAGATTGAAGCGCCAGAGCAGACTACTAATAGAAAGAAAAAAAATGAAGTATAAAAAAATGAATTGTGATAGCTATAGTAAATCACAAAAGGAATTAAGTAATAGCAAAATTTTTAGAATTTATAGAATAGAAAATATACAATGTAATAATCTTACTTTAAGATTAGCAATTTGATGCTTTATGTTGTTCACAAGTACTGGCCATGGCCAAAGCACAATTACATTATAGAATATAAATATAATTAGATAGTACTGACAAGGCGGGTAGTTGCCAGCTGATGACTAAAGGAAAATAAATCCTTAGTAAGTTAAGGATCCGGAGGGAGGCCAAGAACTACTGAAACAAGTCGCATCTGAGCAAAAGTTGGAGGTGAGTCTCTAGTTTGGTTAGATTAGCGATAGCTATTGATAAAAATATATAATTCTTGAATAGCTTAATTTCAAATAAATAGAAGCAGGATTGCTGAATTATAAAAAAAAAATAAAAATTAAATATCAACTAATAAAAATTATCATAATTATATAAAATTTTAGAATATATGTAAATTTTTTTTTTTTTCCACTTAGGCCATCTTGCCTTTAGTCTCTTTTATTACTTTACGATTGTATGGTATTTAGTAATACGGGCCGATAAAAAATCTGCAGGTCGAGGGCCGATACAGGGTAGGTCGACCCAGGTCGACCAGGCCGGTTTTTTACAATATATAATTTTTTAGCCAATCAAATTACAAAACGGTTACAATTTTTTTTTTTAACGTTTTTTAACGTTTATAATTTTTTAGATTTCGCGACATTTTAGATTTGTGACGAATAGATCTAGATAGATCTAAAACACATACTCTAAGATATGTACATACTTTATCCTACAATTAAACTCCAACTATGATAAAAACCTATATAGTATGAGCGAAGAACAAAAAAAAAGGTAACTGCAAGCTGATTTTACTAAAAAAAAAACTTTACTCAAGCCCGGGATAAACGTTGAATAGATCTGAATTTGTTTTTAAGAACAATATGTCATGCACTGTATTTGGATTTAAACGATTTCGTTTTTTTGTTAGAACATTACCTGCATCAGAGAATAAACGTTCAGAAGGTACGGAAGTTGCTGGAAAAGCAAGAAATTTTCGGGCTAACGTTGCTAAATTTGGGTAATCCTTTTGATGCATACTCCACTAGGTAAGAGGGTTGTGGGTTTTGTAAAGTGGGTAGTCTATGTGATATTTATTTATTTGTATTGCTTGTTCATACCGTTCTAATTCATTATCTAATGGACAATCAGATTGATTATCACTGTCGAAAAATCGATCCATTTCAGTTTGTTCTGGGGTATCAATAGTATTTGTTTTTATCATTTCCGCGATCATTTCTTGAACTTCTTTTTTTTTTTCTTTGTCAAAGGACATACTTTTGAATCGAGGATCTAGGTAAGAAGCAATGTAAGCCTCCATTAAAGGTGCTTTCCAACGTTTAGTTATAGAATCTTCAATTTGATGACAAATATTAAGGATATTGGATGAAGTTAGTGACTCTTTCATTCGATACAAGTGTGTGAATAAAAGGGAGATAGTAGGAAGCATCATGCCAAGGGTTGGATATTGTGCTCCTCCGATTAATTTTGTTGTTTGAGCAAAAGGACCTAAAAGTAATGTTAGTTCCTCTAATTCCATCCATTCTGTCTTTGTAAGTAATTTTTCACTTAAAGTTTGTCCATCCTTTCTTTGTTGAAAATCAGGATGACGACGTAAAGACCTTGCGAGTTGCTCTACAGCATCTCGTAATTGAAGTAACCTTTTTAAGACCAAAAAAGTTGAATTCCATCTAGTCTTTACATCACGAATGGGTTCGACGATAGATAAGTTATTTTTTTGTTGTGATTGTGATGTTGTTGGTTATTCTAATGATTCAGTCAAATCTTCAGGTTCTGATTCCGAATCTTCATCTTCCAATAGTGGCCATTCTGTGTTTTCCAAGGCACTTTCTGACAACTGATTAAATTCATTTTGAATATTACGAAGACTTTGACGATATCGATCTCTCTTTACTAACTAATTGTTTAATTTTTTTGTCCTATTTAAAAGATCATTACAAGCATTAATTTCATCTTTAATGGATAATTGAATCGTATGGGCAGTGCAACATATATGAGGTGTTCCGAGAAGCCGCATTCTTTTAACAATTGATTTATCATTATCAGTTGTTCCTCCGACCAATTTATCACGTATATTCCAATATTCAAAAATCTTTGATAAAAATTGTTCTTGGCGTTCTCCTGAGTGTGAATAAGGAAATTCCTCTATAGTTAACACTGCTTGATATAATTTAAAATTATTTGAAAGCCAATGTATAGTTACACCAATATAAGGACGATGCATACTGGTCCACATATCTGTGGTAAAAGAAAATGTTTCCATTGTTTCTG